GTATAGAGAGAGAGAGAGAGAGAGAGAGAGAGAGAGCTGTGTGATAATACAGCTTGTAAACAATCACTCAGCAGAGATTTGCTAAATAGTATATATATATACAGTATATATATATATATATATATATATATATTTATTAGTAAACTGTGAAGAATTTTCACGAGTGATCTCAGACTCAGAACCCCACTGTATGTATAGGATTTATACTGTCTAGTTTGAAAGAATTATCTTGGTGTTCTATACTTGACTCTATTTGTGAGAGTCCTTCTGTTCAGCATGAAGTCCGTGGAGAACGAGATGAACAAACTGACAGAGAGGTTAAGCCTTTAGCTGGCCATAACGTATGGTTAGATTCTGTCTCAACGAGCCCTAGCTGACCCCTAATACAACTGAAGCTGTGGAGCTTGACGGATCACACAGATTGAAAGGTTGCATATGTCTCATGTTAAGCTTCTGGTTTTCTGATTTTCTTGTTGTTCCAACATGTAATATTACTGTTAAATAGCAGCATTTCTATGGGATTTTCTTTTGACATCATGTATGCAATCTATATTGTTCTCTAATCAGATCAGTAAGTTCACTCTAAAATTAAAATTCTGTCATCTTTTACTCACCCTCAAGAGGTTACAAAATGTTGGTAACCATACAGTTTTGGTTGCCATTGACTTTCAATGGGAAAAAGACACTGAGAAATTTCTCAAAATATCTTCTTCTTTTTTTTATGTTCTACAGAAAGAAAGTCAGTCATACAGATTTGGAACGACGTGAGCAAATGTTGACAGAATTTTAATTTTTGGGTGAACTGTCCCTTTAACAGCTATGAAAGTACCCACCCTGGTGCTGCTTCCCTGATTGCAGGAGACTTTAATCATGCCAACCTGCAGACAGTTCTTTAGAAATATTACCAGCATGCCTGTATGAATGCTCTTGATTACTGCCACACCACTATCGCAGATCATCTGCCTGCGCTTCCTATTCCAAGAACCTGAAGAGGAAGAATAAATAATAAGGAAAAATAAAGCCCTATTTAAATGCATAATTCATTCATTCATTCATTCATTCATTCAAGAATGTATCCACAGGAACACTGGATGCAGGAGCAGATGAAGTGGTGTGGGACTGCTCTGTGAACTTGAACTACGCTTGTCAGTGATTCTATTAAGATACTATTTGCTCTGTTTTATCTTAATCATTTTGAAAAATGTATTTAAAAAGCTACTTTATTGAATCACTATTCAGTATGGAAGCTTATGTCCACCATGGAATAAAAAATAAAAAATAAATACAATAATTAATCAAATTTTAAATAAATAAATAAATTAATTAATTAAAAAATGTAATTGAGACTTTCTCATAATTGTGATTTTATATCTCACAATTCTTTTTTTCTTTCCTCAGAATTATTATTTTTTCCTCTGCCATGGAAGAGTTGCAGTTATCTTTTTTATATTTTTATTCTGTAGTGAAAAAAAAAATCTTTCATAGCTCTGTGTAATAAATTAAACAAAATAATTTGTTTACAATGATAATAACAACTGAATTGAATTGACAGTCAGTTACATCAGTTAACTTTCATCCCAGAGATGAACATTAGTCGCCAATAGTCTTTTAAAATTAGCAGATTAAAAAAAAAAAAAAAAAAAACTATTACAGACCATGGAGAATGAGATGAGACCAGCTTAAGGAGGTGTATGTTTAACTGTAAATTGCTGGTGTCCTGATTAAAACACATTCTGAAGTGATTTGTTGTCCTAACTTTGAATATCTCACTATTAAATAAATATTCTACCCATTCAGATCAAGAAAAGACATTTTGTGAACTAATATTAAGAGCTATGAAAGTGTCTACCCTGATGCTGTGTCCCTGATTGTGGAAGACTTTAATCATGCCAACCAGCAGATGTTAGAAAGCTCTACAGATTTCCACTGAATTATTATTATCTCCCAAAAGCAGCAAATAAAATTCAAAAGAGAAGTGTGGATTTACTTTTTGGCCAAGGTATGACCTTTGAAATGTTATCAGGAGTAATAAATGAGCAACACAAACAATTAACACAGTTTTCCTAATCTTTGTGTGGGGATATCTCACTCATGTGTGAATATTTCTGATATTTTTTTTTTTGTTTCAAAGAAAAATACTGTGACCTGTATAATGATTACAGACTGATCCACCATAATGATGTGCTGTGAAGAGCTGGTGACGGGGCGCATTAACACGATGCCGTCTGAGTGATTAGACCCCCTGTAGTTCACATAGCAGTGTAACGTGTCCAGCAAAAAGGCAATTTCTTGGGATCTTCATGCTGCACTGACTCAACAGGAAGGCACTAATGTCAAGATGTTCTTGGTCTTTATTGATTACAGCACCACATTTAACACCGTCATTCCTTTCAGACTGGACAGAAAGCTCTTATTTTATTTTATTTTTTATTTGATTTGATTTGATTTGCATTTATGATTGATGTATTAATGCATTTGCACATTGCACTTGTGCATATAACATTAAATTGAACCCTGAACTGAGCATGTATCTCAGTGATATATGAAGTTACACAGATCTACCCGCAATTCTTGGTGGTAAGACTGAGTAGGAGGGTTAATCCAGAAACATGAGGCATATGTTCACTCGTAGTAACCCTTCTCTCAGCAGAGATGCTTAATAAGCTGGGGCAAAGGGGTCGCAAGTGTTCAAGGGCTGATGGGGATAGAATGCCCAGTTTAAGAAGAGAATCTAGCTTTGACCTGACAAGAAACAGGGAAAATGAACCCAGGAGTATAAGAGAAGATAGGGTAGCATGAGGCTATTCAGAAAGAAGACCTTTGGCCTTTAGCTTTAACCTGAACAGAATGGAATCCTCTCCCTCCTCTGTATCTCGCCCCCCCCCCACACACACACACACTCACGCACACTCACACACTCACACTCTCTCACACTCTCACACACACACACACACACACACACACACATTTTATCCTTTGCCCAACATGCAGCTCTTTGTCAAGTGTTTACAAAGTCTTATTTTTACATAAGTTTTTACATATACAGTACACAGACACAAACCGTTAAAAAGTTTGGGGTCAGTATGTTTTCTCACTCTCTCTCTCTTAAGCTCACAGAGGCTGCATTGTTTTGTTTAAAAAAAAAATAGTAAAAACAGAAATTTTGTGAAATATTATTACAATTTAAAATAAGTCTTTTCTATTTTAATATTTTTAAAGATGTAATTTATTCCTGTGATGGCAGACCTGAATTTTCAGTCTTCAGTGTCACATGATCCTTCAGAAATAATTTTAATATGCTGATTTTGAGATCAAGAAACATTCCTTTTTATTTATTTATTTATTTATTTTAAGCTCCAAAGAACAGCATCTAATAACAACAGAAATCGTTTTCTAATAATATACATGTTTTTGCTGTCGCATTTGAACAGTTGAATGCGTCCTTGCTTAATAAAAGTATTAATTTTCATTAAAAAGTATCTTACAAACTTTTATACAGTAGTGTATATATTAAATGGGAGTTGAAGCTCAGTATTTATATATGTTATATACTGTGCAATTGAATGTTGTCCTAAGCAGACTATATGCTATAAAACTGTAACAGTAGCCTACCAATATTTTATGTTCATTGATTTATTAATTTGGTAAGTAGCCATGCAATTAGCAGGGTAACAAAGTTAGCTGGTGATTATTGCAAAATAAACCCCTGAAGGCTGATTCAAGTCCCTACTGTTTCCGGTCAGGTTTGTTTTTAATTAAAGACTGACTGACTCTTTGTTGTGCCATACATATACCATAAACATCTCATTATAATCTTCCTTCTGTCCATTGATCTCTTTCCAGGGTATGGGGCCGTCCAGTATACCGTCTGTGCCCCTCATGGTGGGCTGTGGCATATCCTGTACGGCTCTTCTCATTCTGTTGCTCATCTACGCTGCCTTTTGGAGGTGAGTTCAACAAAACCCTTCACTGACCCACAGCCAGCAACACAACACTGATCTACAGAGGACCGTTTTTGAACATAGCTTCCAGGTTCTGCTGTCCTCTGCTGATAATAGGATATTACGGTGTTATTTTTGCACTATTCCCCTCGTTTACTTCCCGGTGCTCTCACAGGTACACTTACACCTTAAAAGATTAATTTTTTCAGACTGTAGCTTCCCACGTGGGGTTGCCCAGGCTGGGATAGAGCAGCTGGCATGGGGTAGATCTACAGTGGGCCCAAACTGCAATTAGCAATAATTGGGACCAAATGAGGGATGGCGGGAGCCGCCTGTGGCAGGACAGGATTATGTGGAGAGTGCTAGTGAAGGCTAGCATAGTTGCTAACAACTCAGTGTGGCAGATGGCCCAGGCCAGTCACGTGATCAGCTAACACCATGCCCAGATAAAGGCCACCACTTGGTCAAGTGCTTAGTCAAGTATTTATCTCCTCAGAAGTATGACAAATGATGCTAGATTGTTTTTTCACTACATTGTTTATATATTATATATAATTAATATAAAATATTTGTCACATGATCCTTCTGAAATCATTCTAATATGCTGATTTGGTGCTTAAGAAACATTACTTATTATTATCAATGTTGAAAACAGTTGTGCTGCTTAATACATTTGTGGAATCCTTGATCATTTTTTGCAGGGTTTTTTGATGAAAGGAAATGTTTTTGTCACAGTACTACAGTCTTTACTGTCACTATTGATTAACTTAATGTGTCCTTGTTGAATGAAAGTAATAATCTCTTTACAAAAAAAAAAAAACAAGAAAGAAGAAGAAGCATGTTTTGGTCAAAGAGTGTATTTGTAAATTATTTATATTATATATTATAATGCGTTATACTATTTTATTTTAAATATTAAGGATATTTATAGCCACAAGGGTGGCTTGGGGAGGGGAGGTATCCAAAGCACATCAACTTGTCTGCAATGAAATTCATTCATTATTCATTCACTTTTAAGGGTGTTTGAGTTGGTTTAAATGACCTGATACTTCGGATCCAAATGATTTTTACCCCCGTCCCATAATTCCTGAATAGCAGGTGGGAAGGTATTTCCTCTCTCCAAGATTAGTGCATCTGCCACCCCACCAGAGAGCTTATCACAGGCCTGCCCTTTCACTCAGACCATTGATCCAGGGGATGCTGTCATTGTCCTCTTGAGCAGATCTGTCCAGAGCTCAAATAGCGAATGAGGACATTTTGCTCACCGGTGCGTGTGTGTAAGATGCTGTTTTGGAGTTCATCTGCAGGTCACCTGGGATGCTGCTCTAGTTGTCAGTGTTAAGTGAAGTGAAAAAAAGGATAAATGGATTTTGATAAATAGGTCCCACACATTTTATGTCATAAACCTGTATATCAAGCCTTTTGTAAAGATAATATTGTCATAACAGCAAAACAAAGTTGCTGATAAAGTTCTGAGCGTGTGATTTTCCTGTTTTTCTTTGATTCTCAGGTACATTCGTTCAGAGAGGTCCATCATCTTGGTGAACTTCTGCCTGTCCATACTGGCCTCCAATGTGCTGATACTGGTGGGACAGTCCCAAACTCTCAGTAAGGTGAGTATGTGTGCACATTTGTGTTTATCTGATGTATATGAGAGAAAGAGTTGAGAAAGAACAACCTTTAGGTTCCCATCTTGATGCCTTCATGTTTGGCTACAATTTGAAGATTATTTTGGGGAAGTAAATGTTCTTCTGGCATGGTCTACATGAAATTAGTTAATTTATTAAACATAATAAATAAAAATGTTGTGTTTCTGAAAGTAGCCCCTGTTGTTGTTGATGATAATATTTGTATCGGTCATATTAAAAAAAATAAATATATATTTTTATAAAATCACCAAACTCACCTTATCACTTTAAATAATAATAATAATAATAATAATAATAATAATTTGTATAACTGTTAGTTAAGGTATAGTTTTAAATGCATTTGTGAATTAAAATTATTATTATTATTATTATTATTATTATTACTATTATTATAATCATCAAATAATTGTATATAACTGCCCTTCATTTTTTATATAGTAATAACCATTTATATTACATACACATTTTTTCTTTGAATTTAATTACATTTTAATTCTACTTAAATTCAAATTACAATTCTAAGTCTTCATACAAATTCAGTTCAAATTCAAAAAAATAAATTGGAATGCAAAATACATTCAATTTAAAACTGAGTTCTGAATGGCACTTAACCTTGGGTCCCAGACTCCTTAGAGATAGTAGTCTGTCTGTGGTACAGGTAACTGGAGTTTGTTCTCTCTCCAGCCTGTCATGACAATATGTAAGTGGCCACGATAGAATTTGAGAAAGTCAGGCAGGTGCTTGTAGCAGACAGACAGACGTGTGGAAGGCGCTGGAGGGTCAGCTTTGTGTCAGCCGTGACAGTCACACTGCGAGAGCGTAAGATAGACTACAGAGGCACCTGAGAAATAATTGCTGTGATTCAAACCCGAACTGTCACTCAGAGCTACAAAGAAAGCCGGAGACCAGCAAAGGAACTGTTCGTAGTACCCCTTCCCCCTCAATCCAGACTTAATATTTCACTAAATTCTCATATTTGGCATAAGTTTCAGAAAGTACAGATAAGCCTAATTTCGGAAACCATGAATGGTGTGAAATCCTTCTCATTTCCTGGGTCATTTGCTGAGCGGGCCGGTGTTTAACATTAGAATATGCACCTCCTTATTGTATAAAACCTTAGTGAGATACTCTGCTTACTGCTTCTCATTTGCATTCGCCGGTTATTTAAATCATACTTTTCTTTAATTCTAGCCTGCCATTTTTCCTCAGAAACTATTCAACCTTTAACTAACCCATTTTCACTTTTTAAGTACCGTCTACGAGGAAAAAACATAGACAGGGTGTGTTGTTAGAGCTCATTTTCACACCACATCGAAACCAGATGGACTTTCGTTAATGTCCGCGGCTCGTTCCCACTTCTCCTTATCAATCACTTCATCTCTCTCTCCCTCTTGGCTTTGATAACAAGCAGCTGAGAGCCATTTGCACCTCTTCTTGCTTCCTGTATTTTCTCACACATCTTTTTCGTCATCTCTTACTCCTTATTTCTCTCTGTTTCTTTCTTCTTCCCTCTTTTGTCTCTAGGGACTGTGCACTGTGACTGCTGCCTTTTTGCACTTCTTCTTTCTGGCCTCTTTCTGCTGGGTACTGACAGAGGCATGGCAGTCCTACCTGGCTGTGATTGGCAAGATGAGGTCCCGCCTCATTCGCAAGCGTTTTCTGTGCCTGGGCTGGGGTAGGACACCCGCACACACACCACAACTAACATCGAAGGTCAAAAGCGATGTTATTGTCGTGTTTCACTTTCAGTTTTTTATCCATATGAGGGATGCAGGAGTATAACATGCCAGTTCTTATCGATTCAGTCACATCAGATTGTCTGCAATGTCAGTTTGCTTCAATGGAGCCCAATGACACACCATAAACATGCCACTGGAGCTCAATGTTACTTCTGTATTACAAGACGTAGATGTCTGATCGTTGATAAGAAATGCATTGTGTGCCACCATCTTAACACAGGCAGGATCTAACAGGGTATTCAAGCACTTGCAGTAGCACACTCACACTTGTTTTGTAACTTATTGATCCACTATCACTTCCATTAATTCATAGATGCCCTTTGCAGATATTGTAGAATAGCATTACCTCCCACAGGGAAGTGGTATTACATATGTGTGTGTGTGTGTGCGCTGTCTGTTGTAACATATATTATATATTTATAATAATTTTTTATGTTTTCATGGTTTTCTGTTTGTGTGTTATTTTTATGTTGCTTGAAAAAAAAAAAATACAATACTGAGCTACTTTTGAACGGCCATCAGTAAAGAAACATTATTTTACCCATGTAGTGTAGTGTAGTTACAGAATCGACCAGGAGGAGCAAAGTGACTATTCTAACTAACCAAACCATGACCCCCTGCAGGTTACAATATGAAACGATCACAGCTGGAATCCAGAGCAAACTTTCTTCATTGCTTGCTGCTTCCTCCAGAGCCACATTTGGATCAAGTTCATCCCCTCCTTTCCCACGTCTTTCAATCCTGTTCTCTAAACTGGAGTTTTTCTAATTGGCTTTAATTTCCAGAGTTAATCAGAGCATTGTTAATTACATGAATATTTCAGAGGAGAGCTCATTATGTGTGGACGTGGCACACAGACATAGAGCGAGAAGAATGGATAGGTCTAATTAGCACATGAGTAAAGCTGGCCTCCCAGACTGTGATGGCAAACACAATAGGGATGACACCAGAAGGAGAGGCCAGAAAGCTCTCACAGACACAGAGAGGGGAAGGTATTCTACAAAGTAAAGGTCACTGTACACGTCATTGTAATCAAGGACCAAGAAGTACACCTTCCTCAGTCTTGAGATGGGAAACCTCATGCTGAAAAGATGTTTAGTTATGACAGTGTTTACTGTTGTATATAAAATAACAAAATGCATTTTTTTGTTTTTATTCCTGTAGGGGGAATATCTATATTCATGAACTCATGAACATTTAGTATTATATAGTTTTCTTGCAAAGAAGACAATTAAATAAATACAATATATATATATATATTGCATGTTCATAACCTGATAAATGGAAAAGTCCTGCATATTGCCTATTGCATGCCAAATACATTTTATTTATTTATTATAAATCTAGCTGGTAAACAAATAAAAGACTATTTTTACACATTGTGCCATTAGATTTTCTGAACTGAAATATATTAAATACATACAGTACATTTGAAAGATAACACCCAAAGCAAAACACAGTAATGTGCATTTAGTGACATTATACTGTATGATATAAAATACATTAAATCAATTTAACAATGTGTTATACAAACCATACAAGTTGTAAGACGAAGAGGTTGTATTTAATATATCCTTTTCAATTTCTTAATTAAAATAAGTAAGAAATAAACTTGGTATACTGAACATGCTACTATTACACTTTGTGCCATTGGATTTCTGAACTGAAACATATTAAATATATACATTTGAAAGTTGAGACCTGAAGCAAAACACAGTAATGTGCATTTAATGACATGATACTGTATGACATAAAAGCTCTTTGGTTCCAGCTAGCATTCACAGTGTTGCTATAAGAGGGTCACAGTGCTTGCTCTGTGTACTTGCCCTGTGGAGCGCTCTTAGAGAATACAGACTGGAACGTTTACACTGCTACACTTTGGCCTCATAAATAAAGACATACACAGAGGCCCACGGGAATTCTCTCTGCTAAAGTACCGTGTCTGGGGTCTGGGAGGGCACTGCACACAGGGAGAATGGTGTACCTGTACGCCATGTGCATTTGTCCATGAAAAGGGCACAAGCTAAAGAAAGTCACCAATGTGAGAGAAGAATACTTCAGCTAACTTCCCCTCTGGCCATTTGCCATTAATGGTTCTAAAAAAAAATAAACAATTCTAGGTTGCATTTTCTGTTCATAATTTTCCTTTTAGCAATGCCTGTCCTCTGTTATTATATATGGTGGGCAATTTCCTCATGCAGGCTAAATGTATAAAATCTCTCAGTCAGTATTTAAATTGTCAAAATATGTTTTTTTCAGAGTTTTTCAGAATTTCAACTCAAATTTCTTTATCAGTAAATTATTTCAATTAACTTTGCCACCACATTTTGCATTTAAAATTATAATTATAAGTTAAGCAATTAAACAAACTTTTTAATTTCAGTGGGTTGAGGTTTTTTTTTTTTTTTCTCTCCTTTCCTCATCATAAGCTTTATCTTGCAGGTCTTCCAGCCCTTGTGGTCGCTGTATCTGTGGGTTTTACCCGGGCCAGAGGTTACGGCACGCCAAGTTAGTAAGTATCACTGATGCAGCACAGTCTCACAAGGAAAACATTTATCTTACATTAAAACATTGTTCTGGTGCTATTTTGAGGGTTAAAGTACGTCAAGTCTCAGTGATCTTTGGATGTTTAAAAGAATACGGACGTACCTACAGTACATCTAAAATACATAAAGATATGTTTTTGTTAAAGTAATTTTGTATGATCACAGAGTACCCTGTATAATGTTATAACACATAGTGTATAATGCAACACATAAGCAGTAAACACACTTACCTGATACATGAAATATACAAATTACTGCCATCAAGTTAATAATCAATCTTTATATACTACAGTACTTTCCAGAAAATAAGTTGCACCTGACTATAAGTTGCACTGGGTCAGCATTGCATTGTCCAAAAGTTATGTTTGTCGTTCTATGAGTTACATTTTATTATTACATTCAGAAATAATGTAAAATACCAGTAAATAAAGCAAAACGTTTACAAATATTCTAACCACTATAAAAATGCTCATAACACATTTCATTCCAGTATACAGTTTTGCAATTCTAAGAATGATGATTTGATATCTAAAAAAAATGTTTTCTGATCAAAATATCCTAATGTCAAGAGACCAGTGAATAGATTATATATTTATAATCCAAATCAATGTCTGAAAATAGCCAAGGTTTTACCAACTGATATGATGCCTAGATGTTTTCATCTTTAGAGCTACATTGTGATGCACAGACGTTTTTGTGAGTGTGTGTTGCCTAATGTCGACCTTTTACTTTGGAAGAAATTCTTCAACAAGTATCTTGAGTCAGAGAGTCCTCAGAGAGTCCTGTTCCTCCTCTATTCCTGACTATGGATTTACACAAAGTGGTGGTCATTTTCTGCTGCTCTGCATATAATGGTTTCTGTCTTCACTGCACTGCTAAGCAATTGATTTAAACCAGGGAGCTCCCTGACTAATCGGAGACAAAAGTTTAAAACAATGGTGGCCTTTGAGAGCTTTAATAGGATACGTCTAAAACATGGATTCCCCTCAAACAAAAGGACACATTTTGGAAACAGTGGAAGAATTCAGTGGCCTCAGATAACCTCACCGCTGGGCTCAGTAACAGCCTGCTTACTACACAGTCACTCTTCTCTACAGTCTTCCACACACGAATACATGATTGAGTGCATATGTCTGTGATCCTTTCACAGCGGACATTTCACAAGGATGTCAGGATACAAATTAAATTGAAATCTGTTTGATTGCATTTGACCAGAACATTAGCAAACGTTGAAACAGCTCCATTAAAATCATGATTAATAATGCTTCTCTACAAAGTATGACCTTCCAGCTTTTTCAGAACTGTTTGTGTAGAACTTTACCAGGCATATCTTTATCTGTCTATTAGCTATGAAGTTTTATTTGATCTCTGCAATGAAAGCACTTTAACAATATGGTATTTCTAAAAACAAAGTAGTAAGATGGAGAGGTTGTTTTTGAGATATCCTCTTCAGTTTCTTAATTTAGGGAATACATTTGTTTAGAATCCAAGCTGACTTAATTTATTATTCTACTTTCATTTCATCTTTATTTGTGTGAAGAAATATGATTAAAGGTTAATGAAAACTGCAAAAATAATTAATTTTCTATTTCTTTCTCGCCAACCCCCCTTTTTTTCCGAAGCCAACAAATGTCAACTCTCTCTATTGATTTGCAGTGTTTATATTTCACTTTATCTCTTTCTCTCAATTTCAGTTGTTGGTTGTCTCTGGAAGGAGGGCTGCTCTATGCTTTTGTCGGTCCCGCTGCTGTCATTGTACTGGTAGGTCTCAGACTTTGTGCTTTTTCATTGGTTAGATTTAGCCAACATGAGCTCCGTCCACTTTAATATGCATTTTAAATATATCAAGCCAGCAGTCGAAGAGCATTTTCACTAATGAGATTAGAGTTGAGGCCTGTCTCATTTCAAATGTGTGTATTTTTCTTCAGTGTAAAATACATGAGTGAACTTGATGAGCTTATTAGCCCAAAGCAACCAAAGTGTGTGTGCATATACTATCGTCCACAGCCCCGGTCTCAGGTGCTGTGTGTTTTCTGTGAGATGTTTGCATTGTTTTTCATGGTCAGATGTGATTTGCGTTGTTTGTTCCTTGGTGGTGCTGTGAAGCGGCCCACTCAAACAAACAACTGCAAATGAGATTTGGGCATCTGGAGATGCTGTCTACCTCCTTAGAGAGGCAAATCTAATTCATGGAAAATAATTAATCTTGCCTCTAGCAAATAGTAAAATGGAGACCCATTGTCTAAGCAAGTGCCTTGCATGATCAGAATACGAACGGCACTGGTAAACGTGTTAGACTCAGTTGGTTCTATATGCTCTCGGAGCAGACTGAACAGACCGAGTGGTAATTTAACGCAGGGGATTTCAATAGGGGGTCTGTTGTGGGTCCAGCCAATTATTGTTTAATCTCAAATTATTTTTTGGGTAATGCTTGGATAAAATATTAGTAACATGAACTAACAATGAATAATACTTTTGTGTTTATTAATTTTATTCAACATACATTAATACATATTTAACATCTCAAGTTGATAAAAAATAATGTATTATGAACAAAATGCACTACCATTCAAAGGTTTGGATTCAGTAGGATATAGATTGGTAATAATTGGAAATGTTTCTTGAGCACAAAATATTAGCATGATATCTGAATGATAATGTGACACTGAAGAATGAAGTAATGACTGCTAAAAAGTCAGCTTCATATCGCAGAAAATAAAATTACATTTGAAAATATATTCAAATAGAAAAGAGTTATATTAAATTGTAATACCATTTTATATTATTGCTGTGTTTTTGATCAAATAAATGCAGCCTTGGAAAGCATGAGATACTTCTTTAAAAAAAAAAACATAAAAATCAAATCTTACCAACCGCAAACATTTGAACAATAAAGTATGTATAAATTATTTTAGATTTATAATATACATATTTGTAAATTACCATTAATCTAGAATAAAAAATACTGTAAACATTTTGCTCACTGTTAGCTCATGATACCTAATGCATTAAATAATGTTAATGAAATAACAGTTTCTCTCTTACATTAAAATGTATTAAGTAATACATAGTATTGTACTTGTATATGACATCACATCAAAAATAACTGATGTATCATAACAACATGGTGCTAAACGTATGTTATTGTAGGTTTAAAATCTAACACTCAGTTTTCAATAATATATACCAAGGGCTCATTTATTTGAAATAAACTGAAGATCCCTACTTTAACAAAGTTGAACGCAGCTGCCAAAGTCACAGTCCATGTGTTGGTGGTGTAGTGCAGGCAGATGTCACTTAACAGGAAGAGACTGTCAGTCTTGTAACCTACAACCATATGCCCTCCTGTTGTAATACAAGAGAAACAGTATAGTCTTGGCTCAAATTCTGTGTGTATCAAAGGTACAGGTGTGTGTGTGTGTGTGTGTGTGTGGTCTTTCCATGGCCTTTGTCTAAGCTCCTCTTCAGTGCTCTGTGTGTCCAGTGAGCAGCTGGCTGGAGCGGACTGGGCAACAATCTGTTGAGAGAGAGAGTGGGTGAGAGACATGAGGGCATTACTGTCCCTTCATGATCCCACCTGCCCATTTGCTTCCAGACTTAAATCCACAACACCTGTCACAGGCTGTTAGCGAGCCACTGCTGTAAATGCTCCATGGTTAAAGGTCACTTCACAACACTGCTTTATTGTCCCACTACCCAAATTGTATTTATACAGAAATAATGGCCAGAAGTACTAAATTATTTTCTTCCACTTAGATGCTGCAGTAGTTCAAATGAAGTATCTATCTATCTATATATCTATCTATCTATCTATCTGTCTGTCTGTCTGTCTGTCTGTCTATCTATCTATCTATCTATCTGTCTGTCT